AATTAGTATACATTCCAATTTGAGTCCAATCAAACATACCATGTGGGAGAAAAGTTTCGTTTTGTTTTGTTCAAAAACTGATGTTGAGAAAAATACAAAAAAAAAAACTTTTTTATACGTATCAGGACTTTTTTCTCCAACTAAAGTGATCGAAAACTGGTGATGTTATAAATCCATGACTACCCATACTTTCAGCGCCTTTGAAATGACAAATAATTATTATCACTCGGAAAATTTTTCATAAAGAGGTTGATCGTCGTATGAGTTTTTCTGCTAGGGATTTCGAGATTTACGTTTAATGAAAGTACTAGTTAACAACGGAGAGTCGTCATGAGTAAGGTATTTGACAGACAATACTTCAAAGCTATACCAAAAATTGAAGAAATTTTGATTTTAACATCTGGAAAAGGGACAATGTCCTTAGTAAAACAAAATAGCCTTTAATAAAAGAACGATTTGAAATTTTAATTTTTTTTTCGAGTTAATAAACTTTTACGTGATGATACCATATAAGTTATATTAAGAACAATTTTTTTTGCTTTAAATGATTATAACAGGTAGAAATAGCTATGAAACTTTCAAACGTAAAATTACGACTTATGAATATAAATTAAATATTGTTTTATCATTTTTCTTAACATTAGATGCTTTGAATGAAGAATTATCTCGTTCATCATCAGTTGCTAAAACAGCTGTTCATGATGTTGAACGAGCTTATATGAGAATAACAAATGAATACCGAGAACAACGTGATCAACTTTTACAAAATCTTTATCATGTCAATAAAAATATCAAAGAGTAAATTTTTATTTTCTTAAAAAGAAAAACACATGATTTGATTTCAAAATCATTCTATAGATCAACAAATGAGCTTGATGGTATACGTAAAAGTTTAAGTACAGCTCAATCATTTCATTTACCATTAATGTAAATATTAATTATTTCAATTTCTCTTTTATTATTATTATTGTTTTGTATTTTAAATTAAATTAAATAGTTCACCAAGATATTCAACTGATTATGAAACACATGAAATGAATGCTATGGTTGATGATATTGAACGTGTACTCAATAAAATATCACAACAACTTAAACAAGTAATTATATATATATATATACAATGTATTCCAAAAGTCCATCAGGATAAAGATAAATGTGAATAACGCTTAAAAAGTTCAATCAGTTTATATAAGTCTTCTATAATTTTGTTTAATGTTTCATTAAGTTTTATTCAACATAATTCAAATCAAATAATGTATCTCATTGAGAATTTTTGTTTTCGAACTAAACTTAAATTATTTTGTAGTGAGAGTCAATGAAAGTTTCTGTTTGAATTAATGTCCTTGTTTCTGATTTCTTAAATTCATACTAAAAAACACATTCAGTTCTCGATCAGTTTGTGACAAGTTTTTAGCTTGTACGAGAATACATTTTTATTTTTGAAGATATAGATAATTATGAAAGTCAAGAGGAAGTTTCCTATGGTTATACACAACTTGTATGATAGTGATCAGTTGAACCATAAATATTTATTCTATTCTCTATTCAAATACATTTGCAGAAGGTGTATTCACTCAAATGAATCATGCATGAACATCAATCGTTAGACTTCTCTCCAAACGTTGATGGATGTAGATATACAGTCACAGAGTGTATATTAAGAACGTCTCATTCTAATATATGAACTACTTCCTTATTGTATTTCTGAGGAATTAAATAAAAACATGGTGAAGAAATGTATTCCAAAAATAGATAAAATAATGTAATCTCCTTTGATTAGCAACAGCAACTACATTACATTTGACATTTTAATCCCGCAGGGATTGCATTAACAGTTTTTTTTTCTTAAAGTCATACTCTGAATTCTATACTGTTGATATTTAAAATAATTATGTGTCATATTTTAGACATTTCGTTCTCCATTCAAGTCGTTTGGAGTTAGCAATTTTACAGTCACCTATGATTGTAAAACAAATCATGTCAGTAAAATTTGACGCACAAATACAATAAATGAAAATACTATTAAAGAAGTCTCTCAAGACATTCATGAAACTGATATTTGTGTTAGACATGTCACATTCTGAACGTCCGACAGTTATGACAGAAAAAAAAAGGTGATACAGTTCATGTCACTAGTGAAAAAATGTTCTAGTTGTTTGAAATGGTCTTTTTTTAGAATTATAATAGAAATCAGTAACTCGTTTAACAAAATGAAAGGGGTCTTTGTATTTATATTATGAAATGCATTCAATTTCTAGATAGTATCTTTCGAATTCTTTATATGATAACATATGAAAGACAATGTCTATAAGATGTTATATTAAAGACTAGATCGAATTAAAAGAGAAAACAATAAAGAAAAATGCAATATTTCCAAATGAAAATTCTATCTAATGTCTCATGGTTTAAAAATTTCAAAACAGTGAACTTGTGAGTTTCATTTCAGTATAGGCACTTTGAATAGCGAACTCAAAAATACACCTATAAAAAACAAAATTTTTAATAAACTTAGATTAAGTGATAGAAAGTTCACGTCTATGACTTGATTTATTCAAAAGTTATTTACATTCTTTTTCCTAACGGACTTTTGGATCATTTTGTACATATTACTTTCCTTATTAATGAATGAAATAGTTTCATTTTATACCTTCACATGGTCATGCAATGGGTAAAATACTTGGTACAATACGTGTTAAAAATACTAATTCTAAAGAAACAGGATTAACATCACCAGAATCTTATATGGATCAATATTATTCAACAGATATACTATGTGTTTATAAACTTTATACAGTTGATTTAGATATATCTGCAAAATGGGTTATATCAACAATAGAACAACGAATATTTTTATGTGATATTGAAGGTGAAGTACGTATATTTTCATATTCACGTCATTTTCGTCGACAACCTTTATTAAGAGAACGTTTTCATTTGTCTAATATACGTTTAATATCATCATTTACAGCAACACAAGATTATTTAATTGCATTTGAAATTGATACACAAATTTTAACATTACATACACATCATGGAGCATTAATATTACGTTTATTTTTTCCATACGATCCACTTATGATAGTTCGTTGTGATTATCATAAAAAAAATCAAATATGGACATGTAGTCGTACAAAACGACAATGTTATCAATTTAATATAAATCATAAAATAAAACAAGTTAATCTTTTAGATCAATTAGATTTTACAAAACCAATATCAAATATTTTAATTGATCCTATTGGAATATCATGTGATGAACAAGATCGTGTTGCTGTACATGATGTTAATATGACAACAACTGATCGTTTATTACTTTTTTCGAATAATCAAAATACGATAATACCACTTGATTTTGTAAAATATTTTGATAAACTATTATCATCACGTATTGAACGTGTCTTACTTGTACCAAAACAATCAAATTTAATTGTTATTATTTATGTTCCACAATCATCAACAACAAATGTACATGAAATAGTTATTGTTGATATTAGTTTACAACCAGCACAAATAGTTCATTGTTTATCTGAACCAAATGGTATACAAAGTATAGATGTAACATCAAATGGTGAATTAGTTTATACAGTTACAACACCAACAAATAAACGAACACCACCAAAAATGCATATTTATAGTTTAATTTATTAATTCAGAAAGAACGGGGGCGCATAAGACCGTAATTTGGCCCATTGAACTTTTCATACTGTATCCAACACAATCATATATCGGATGAAAGAGCTTCAACTGGCGAGTACTTTCCAATACATTTGACGACTTCCTTCCTTATGATTTCGAATGATCTTGTGACGAATACATAGTAATTACATGACAACCTTTCATATTAGTTTTATCCATATAAATTCAAAAAAGTTAGCTTCAATTATATACCATCGGATAGCTCTTTTCACGGGCTACAAAACCATATAGGTTTTAAA